TCTCTCTCTCTCTCTCTCTCTCTCTCTCTCTCTCTCTCTCTCTCTCTCTCTCTCTCTCTCTCTCTCTCTCTCTCTCTTCTACTAAATTTTGCATGTCAAAATATTGCATTTAAAGAAACATCCATCAAAATATGGTGCACTAAACATCACACCTGCTCCCTAAATATGTGTTTGTGTCTGCGTATGTGCGTGCGTGTGTAATTAATTATGTTCCCATATTTTAGGAATTTATTTACGTCCATTATGTGCGCGTGAAATGACCAACATTCATATCTCGCATACGTAATGTTATATTTTGGCACATATGGTACATGATACTAGAAAATGTAGCCTGTCTTAAACTGACCTATAGTTTCCGTTGATCAAACACCGAGAATTTGTTCAACATATTGTTTCCTATTTTACAATAGTTGTGTCAATATGGGGCTTGGAATGGATAGAAGTTTTCTTATTGGCTTGTAGCTGTGAAGATTCAGGTTCATTACAAAGAGTTGACACGAACTAAAATTAGTATCTTCACGATCATTTTGGAAGTTTTCACCCCATTGACCTAAATTGTCACTATTCGATATCAGTTTCTCTCCAATACTGACATAAAAGTTCCTTACAAAAATAGTACTGTCACACTCAGTAACATAAAACATCCGTATAAAATTTTCTCGATATGCTCTCGAAAATCGTCAAATCGTAAAATTTGTCCCTGTAGATGGTTTGTTCTCGAGCAAGAAAAAATAATTTGATCTTTATTCGCAGCACAGATGTTCGTTCTGTATACAAAATTATATCCACTTTTACATTCCGCAAAAAGCATCAGGGACATTGTTTTGCCTACCCAAAAGCATCAGGGACATTGTTATGCCTACCCAAAAAGCATCAGGGACATTGTTATGCCTACCCAAACAGCATCAGGGACATTGTTTTGCCTACCCAAAAAGCATCAGGGACATTGTTTTGCCTACCAAAACAGCATCAGGGACATTGTTTTGCCTACCCAAACAGCATCAGGGACATTGTTTTGCCTACCCAAAAAGCATCAGGGACATTGTTTTGCCTACCAAAACAGCATCAGGGACATTGTTTTGCCTACCCAAAAAGCATCAGGGACATTGTTATGCCTACCCAAACAGCATCAGGGACATTGTTTTGCCTACCCAAACAGCATCAGGGACATTGTTTTGCCTACCCAAACAGCATCAGGGACATTGTTTTGCCTACCCAAAAAGCATCAGGGACATTGTTTTGCCTACCCAAAAAGCATCAGGGACATTGTTTTGCCTACCCAAACAGCATCAGGGACATTGTTTTGCCTACCCAAACAGCATCAGGGACATTGTTTTGCCTACCCAAACAGCATCAGGGACATTGTTTTGCCTACCCAAAAAGCATCAGTGACATTGTTTTGCCTACCCAAAAAGCATCAGGGACATTGTTTTGCCTACCCAAAAAGCATCAGGGACATTGTTTTGCCTACCCAAAAAGCATCAGGGACATTGTTTTGCCTACCCAAACAGCATCAGGGACATTGTTTTGCCTACCCAAACAGCATCAGGGACATTGTTTTGCCTACCCAAAAAGCATCAGGGACATTGTTTTGCCTACCCAAACAGCATCAGGGACATTGTTTTGCTTACCAAAACAGCATCAGGGACATTGTGTTGCCTACCCAAACAGCATCAGGGACATTGTTTTGCCTACCCAAAAAGCATCAGGGACATTGTTTTGCTTACCAAAACAGCATCAGGGACATTGTGTTGCCTACCCAAACAGCATCAGGGACATTGTTTTGCCTACCCAAAAAGCATCAGGGACATTGTTTTGCCTACCCAAAAAGCATCAGGGACATTGTTTTGCCTACCCAAACAGCATCAGGGACATTGTTTTGCCTACCCAAACAGCATCAGGGACATTGTTTTGCCTACCCAAACAGCATCAGGGACATTGTTTTGCCTACCCAAACAGCATCAGGGACATTGTTTTGCCTACCCAAAAAGCATCAGGGACATTGTTTTGCCTACCCAAACAGCATCAGGGACATTGTTTTGCTTACCAAAACAGCATCAGGGACATTGTGTTGCCTACCCAAACAGCATCAGGGACATTGTTTTGCCTACCCAAAAAGTATAAATTAGATAATAATCATTCCCGCCTCTTGAAGTGTTTCAATGTCCATGCATACCGCATCATTCTAGAGCCATGTACAAATATATTAGATTAGAACGGCTGTATGTACAAATATATTAGATTAGAACGGCTGTATGTACAAATAGATTAGAACGGCTGTATGTACAAATATATTGGATTAGAACGGCTGTATGTACAAATATATTGGATTAGAACGGCTGTATGTTCAAATATTTTTGATTGGAACAGCTGTATGTACCAATATATTGGATTAGAACGGCTCTATGTCAAATAGATTAGAACGGCTGTATGTACACATATTATATTAGAACGGCTGTATGTCATAAAGATTAAAATGGCTGTATGTACACATATTATATTAGAACGGCTGTATGTACAAGTATATTAGATTAGAACGGTTGTATGTACAAATATATTAGATGAGAACGCCTGTATGTACAAATATATTATATTAGAACGGCTGTTACGAACAAATATATTAGATTAGAACGGTTGTGAATCTCTAGAGGTTCTGAATCTCTAGAGGACTAACTGACTAATTTCAGGGATAAGATTTAGTTTTGCAAATTCATATAAATTTAAAAATTTAAATATTAAATTTCCTTTGACACTATGTCAATTCTATTGAATTTTGCATATCAAAATATTGCAATTAAAGAAATGCCTATCCAAATATAGTGCACTAAACGTCACACCTGCTCCTAAATATTACTTAAGTTAATTTTTCAGACATTTTTTTCGGCGAAACTAGACTATTATTTGCTCCATAGAGGCGGAAGTTGGTTCAAGTTAAGAACAGGGTACAATTTTCGGATCAAAAGAAGGGTACATTTGCGAGGTTCACTTGCACCGAGGAATCGGCTTCCCGATAACCTCTGGCCTTCAGATCTTTACGGCAAGCTTTAGTTTCGAAGCAGTGGTGCCACTTGTCATTGTGTAAATCATAGATACGGATCGTAGTTTCCTTTCCAGAATAAATTTCAAGAGATCAAACAGAAGCGTTAGACCCTTCTGGAAGAACAAATTTCCACGTTCGGCCTACAACGCTACAGCGAAAATTATAATCCGAATGAAAACCACATGTTTGGCCAGCATTAGCAAGATTTGTATGACACTATGGGCAGGGCCGACAACTATATATATATATATATATATATATATATATATATATATATATATATATATATATATATATATATATATATATATATATATATATATATATATATATATATATATATATATATATATATATATATATATATATATATATAAAAGGAAGGCCCGTGCCGAACAACACTTTTTAATATTATAAAAGAAAACTTTTGCTAGAACGTGAACTGAGAACTAGAAGAGACACGGATTTTTCTTACCCCAGAGCCCTTGATCGTTCTCTACGGCCCTGACTGCCTTTAAAATAAGTTGCGTTGAAAACATTTACAAATAATCATTCCATTGTCAAAGTTTAGGATGAGATTTACATCAGTGAAAGATCAGCTATAATTAAAATCTATTCAATATTAAGGATGAATATTTTTTTGTCGTTGTATCTAAAATTTGCATTTGAGACTCCATTTAAGGTAAAACATGTAGATAAAAGTGCGATAATTAATATTAAGGAAAATGGATGCATACTTCAACTTTTTTATATAAAAAATTTAATCCTGGCCTAACAGTCATCTGTGATTTTGCTAGGGTAATATTGATACCTTTATCATAGTAATGCGACATGACCACCAAAAAAAATGAACAAAGTGTACTGAACACGATTGTCCCTAATGGTGCATAAGCTATATATGTAAATTTTTAATTAATTTTGATAATTGTCATCAATTTACGACTGAATTCATACATGAAAGTCTGTTAGCATCTGCAAACACAGCACTCCTACCTTAATTTTGTTAGATTTTGTTAGGGGCTGGGGGTTTGGGAGGTGTCGCAAAGTATTTTGTATTTCAGAAATTTTAATTTTGTAAAATTCTTTACAAATGATAAGCTATCTTGTATGAAAGAAAGAGAAATGATACGTAAGTGTATGACAGATATGAAATGCAAGCGAAAGAAGGAATGTATTATAGGATACTGTACATTTAGGGGAGATGTTTAATTTATGTCAATGAACAATACAAAGATGGAGTTCATTATATATTTTGGGTATTAGTTTTGGTACACGTTGAAAACAAATTAAACAAATTATTTTTTTAACCGATATCGGAATATTTTAATATTGTGACCTATTCGAAAGTACAACATACTGGCAAGAATCGGAAGAACACTATTAATAATATGTAATTCTCTTGTCCATTTACTCTTGTACGGCTTGTCTACTTAGTTGAAGACTTAGACAGATCTAACTCATGCACATTTCCACACTTTTTCACCTGTTAATTTCTTCGCGTTCATTGTCATCATCATCATCATCATCATCATCATCATCATCATCATCATCATCATCATCGCGTTGTCGTCGTCGTTACGATGTCTGCAGTATGGCAGTTTATAGTGATTCTAGCATTGAGGCATCATGCCGCAGACATAGCATGAAGTCTCCACCCAGTCACATTATCATGAAACCAGGCCGACACCTCTAACCAAACGAGGCAACTGTTAGTACCATTTTTATAAGTCTTTTGTATGAATCAGCCGTGGTTCGAACCCGCGATCTCCCGTGATGAGCTGCCTTTTCGAACCTTTCCAGCTGTTTTAATGAAGATTTCAACAGACTCTTCCTTGCAAATATAAATTTAAATTTATGGCTGGCTTTTATTTATGTGCACCCCGTGTACATGAGGGAAGTATTCAAGAAAATTAGTCTGAGGTTTAAGAGGTTTTTTTTGTTCCATAAACTGACCACTCCAGTGGCCTAAGTGGTTAGAGCGTCTGCCTCGGATGCTGGAGGTCGTATGTTCGAATCCCGGTCGATCATACCAAAGACAAACTGGTACATACAGTATCTCATTTGGTGCTCACCAATAATGAGCACAACTCATATATGATATCTTTCAGCCCTTGTCCAAGTTAGATAAACGGAAAATGCGTGCGCATCCTATCATTTACAGCACATTATAGTAAAAACACTTTCGTGGATAACCTTAGGACATTCAAGAAGAAAATGAACCCGTAATTTCAAACAAAAGGGGACGGAACTGAACAATGCAGTTTAGCCAGTTTTATCTTTCTTAAAAATTAAATCATGGTCGAAAATTGTCCAGCTTCTCCATATAGACCTGTAATTTGTTTTCCTTTAAGGTTTTACATATTGTCTATATAAAAAAAATCATGATGTTACTAAATATTTATTCTCCCATAATTTTGGACTTAGCAGGTAACTAATTTACTTTCATTTTGTATGAATGTAAAACGCCATTTTTATCTGGACTGCACTGACTGATGGGTCTTATTAACTTCTGGAGATACCTTTTTATAAGATGCTTGATTTGCTTTTTCAAGAAACTAAGAAGTGAATATCAATATTAAACATATAATTATGATTGCTTTTACAAAAATAAATATAATGACCTTTACAAACATATAAATTTATGATTTATATAAACATATCAATTTAATGGCCTTTACAAACACATCAATTTAATGAATTTTAAAAACTATTCATGCTGACATTCGCCTTTAAAACTTCTTAGGAATTTTGAACTTAAAAAACAAAATTTAGTGTCAAATATTAATGTAAAGATTTTAAATTTATTTTATAGTTACACAGAAATCGTTCAAGAAAACTGTTATCATAAACATATCTTTAATTGTTTTATAAGTATTTTTAACTCTGCCGTTTTATGACAAGAAATATTGGTATTTAATGAATTGAAAAAGATTTGTTTAATTTTTATGAATTGGCATAAATTAGAATTACGGGAAAAGGCAGAAAAGTCTGAATATTCTTTCATTAGTAATATATATATATATATATATATATATATATATATATATATATATATATATATATATATATATATATATATATATATATATATATATATATATATATAAAGAGGGTATAACCTTTGTACATCTTTTTATATTGCATATCTGAAACATGTTAAGTTTTGGTCTCAAGGATGTCAGTATAGAGAGGTTTCACTGTAACTTCTTTATATTTCATATTAGTAACATATTTCTTGTTTCCAAGTATATCCGAGTTGAGCGATTTCACGCTGTGGTTTGATCGATAAATATGTAAGTTTCCATCACGTAAGGTAAATAATATGAAAAATTAAATTATATCACATTTTCCCCAGAATTCGTTGATTTAAATATTTCTAAAACTTTCTTTCGTCTTCTTACTTAGCGTTAATTATCCTGAATCGTTTTTTTTAAGAGTTCTGTATGCTTAACTAAACCCCGTTCTATCTTTTTTTCTTGTCTATAATGTTATCTAATTGTATATACAATTTACTCATAATAAGAACCTGAATAAGTGACTGAAAAAGAGATGCAGATGGTTTATGTGGGTCAACAAGTATACACGAGTCATAAGTGAGAATCTTCAATGAAATCATTTTGGCATGACGTAAATTTTCCTTGCACGTGCTGATATATTGTCAGGAAATGAAAAAGTAAAAAGAAAAAAAAAGCACTATACAACCTATATTGCAAAGATCACCCGATTAGATTTTACCAAGTAAATAAAAGTACTTGAATTTAACCTGGAATAAAAAGCGGATGGGATAAAATGAAATTTGAGATAGCATATATAATCGAAAACTTAGCATCAAGAACACATAATAACTATGGGCAGACAGAGCATGCTGTTAGTATGTAACTGCACATTTGTTTGGCGTGAAAATGATTAATTTGTACCCGATGACAAAGATCAGAAGTCAAAGTATATTAAAAATGCTGCTCAATAAAATTCACGCTACTTGCGAACATTGTCATTACTTTCCACACAAAAGCCATTTCAAAATTATCACTTCAAGTATTAAGAAGACGTGTTAAGATATACCTTTGTATTGCACATCATTGTACTGATGGTCTTGACATATGTATTACACATTTATGTAGTGCTATACTCTTGTATTGCACATTATGGTACTGACATGCCCTTGTATTGCAGATTATGGTACTGATAGTCCTAATATATGTATTACACATTATGGTATTAATATACCAATGTATTACGCATTAAAGTAGTGATATACCCTTGTATTGTACATTATGGTACTGATAGTCTTGATATATGTATTACACATTATGGTACTGATATGCCCTTGTATTGCAGATTATGGTACTGATAGTCCTAATATATGTATTACACATTATGGTATTAATATACCAATGTATTACACATTAAAGTAGTGATATACCCTTGTATTGTACATTATGGTAATGATAGTCTTGATATATGTATTACACATGGTACTGATATACCCTTATATTGCACATTATGGTACTAATATATCTTTGCATTACTGATATACCCTTGTATTAAACATTATGGTACCGATAGTCTTGTTATATGTATTACACATTATGGTACTGATATCACCTTGTATTACACATTATGGTACTGATATACCTCCGTATTGCACATTATGGTACTGATAGTCTTGATATATGTATTACACAATATGGTACTGTTATCACCTTGTATTACACATTATGGTACTGATAGTCTTGATATCATGATATACCCTTGTATTACACATTATGGTGCTGATATACATCTGTATTGCACATTATGGTACTGATAGTCTTGACATATGTATTACACATTATGTTACTGATATACCCTTATATTGCACATTATGGTACTAATATATCTTTGCATTACTGATATTTCCTTGTATTACACATTATGGTACTGATATACCTCCGTATTGCACATTATGGTACTGATAGTCTTGATATATGTATTACACATTATGGTACTGATATCACATTGTATTACACATTATGGTACTGATATATCTCCGTATTGCACATTATGGTACTGATAGTCTTAATATATGTATTACACATTATGGTACTGATATCACATTGTATTACACATTATGGTACTGATATATCCTTCTATTACACATTATGGTACTGACATACCCTTATATTGCACATTATGGTACTGATATGCCCTTGTATTGCAGATTATGGTACTGATAGTCCTAATATATGTATTACACATTATGGTATTAATATACCAATGTATTACACATTAATGTAGTGATATACCCTTTTATTGCACATTATGGTACTGATAGTCTTCATATATGTATTACACATTATGGTACTTATGTACCCTTATATTGCACATTATGGTACTATGCACATTATTGCACATTACTATGCACATTATGCACATTATGCACATTACTATGCACATTATGCACATTACTATGCACATTATTGCACATTATGGTATTATGGTACACATTAATGTAGTGATATACCCTTTTATTGCACATTATGGTACTGATAGTCTTCATATATGTATTACACATTATGGTACTTATGTACCCTTATATTGCACATTATGGTACTAATATATCTTTGCATTACTGATATACCCTTGTATTACACATTATGGTACTGATAGTCTTGATATATGTATTACACATTATGGTTCTGATATATCCTTGTATTACACATTATGGTACTGATATACCTCCGTATTGCACATTATGGTTCTGATAGTCTTGATAGATGTATTACACATTATGGTACTGATATACCCTTATATTGCACGTTATGGTACTCATATATATTTGCATTACTGCTATACCCTTGCATTACACATTATGGTACTGATAAACCTCCGTATTGCACATTATGGTTCTGATAGTCTTGATATATGTATTACACATTATGGTACTGACATACCCTTATATTGCACATTATGGTACTGATATGCCCTTGTATTGCAGATTATGGTACTGATAGTCCTAATATATGTATTACACATTATGGTATTAATATACCAATGTATTACACATTAATGTAGTGATATACCCTTTTATTGCACATTATGGTACTGATAGTCTTCATATATGTATTACACATTATGGTACTTATGTACCCTTATATTGCACATTATGGTACTAATATATCTTTGCATTACTGATATACCCTTGTATTACACATTATGGTACTGATAGTCTTGATATATGTATTACACATTATGGTTCTGATATACCCTTGTATTACACATTATGGTACTGATATACCTCCGTATTGCACATTATGGTTCTGATAGTCTTGATAGATGTATTACACATTATGGTACTGATATACCCTTATATTGCACGTTATGGTACTCATATATATTTGCATTACTGCTATACCCTTGCATTACACATTATGGTACTGATAAACCTCCGTATTGCACATTATGGTTTTGATAGTCTTAATATATGTATTACACATTATGGTACTGACATACCCTTATATTGCACATTATGGTACTGATATGACCTTGTATTGCAGATTATGGTACTGATAGTCTTAATATATGTATTACACATTATGGTATTAATATACCAATGTATTACACATTAATGTATTGATATACCTCCGTATTGCACATCATGGTACTGATAGTCTTGATATAAGTATTACACATTATGGTACTGATATACCCGTATATTGCACATTATAGCACTAATATATCATTGCATTACTTATATACACTTGTATTACACATTATGGTACTGATAATCTTGATATATGTATTACATATTATGGTAATGATATCACCTTGTATTACACATTATGGTACTGATATACCCTTATATTACACATTATGGTACTTGTATACCCTTGTATTACACATTATGGTACTAATATCACCTTGTATTGCACATTATGGTACTGATATACCCTTGTATTACACATTATGGTACTTGTATACCCTTGCATTACACATTATGGTACTGATATACCCTTGTATTACACATTATGGTACTTGTATACCCTTGCATTACACATT